TCATTCGAATTTTCCCGTTCCATCTTAAATGGTGCCTGAGGTGCCAGAATGTAACTGCTGCACCATTTAAGGTGGAATGGGTAAATTCAAACAAGAAGCTGGTGAATGAGAAGCGACTTCGGCTTTACGTTTTTTTTAGTGTTTAACAGTTTCTTGTTGCAGAGTGAACATATCAGGAAACCAGCTGGAGTGATTATAAACATCTATTTGTCTCCAAATTATCGATGTTCGCCTCAAATCTTTCTCTTTGCCTTTTTGTTAGCTACTAGCTAGGTGAACTAGCAGTTATAGGCTACATTAACTCCAGCATTTAAGATCATTTATTCTTAAATCTGTGTTGAACGATCAGCAGAGCTTTATTTTACTGCAAAGGAGGATTATTTTATTTTTACCTACAAATCTAACTCTGCTGTGGAGCTGCGACCGGCCAGTAAAAGAGTTGCAGGTTGCCGACCCCTGAGTTAGCATATGGAAGCACTTTGGCTTCTATGGGGCTGAAGGGGAAAACCATATTACGTTTCCACCCATTTTCCGTCCGGTTGTACTTGCTGCCAACCAGAGGACTATCAAGCGATGTCAAAGCTTCCACCCAACTCGGAAAGGACGAAGAGAATTACAAACTCTATCGCAACTTTTATTGCCAAGAATTTGCGTCTGTTCTCATCGTTGAGAACCAGGGCTTTCGCGCTATGTTGCACACTCTGGAGCCGAGATACAGCATCTCGTCTCGAAGATATTTTACCGACACAGCAACTCCCCCCCCAACACTCTCTACAACAACATCAAGAGCTAAGTTATGAAATCACTGCAGAAAATGGGTAGTATAACTGTAACGTGATTCGTGGACACCCACTGCCACAGGATCTTATTTCACCATAACTGCACATTTTATCGCAGATGAGTGGCAGCCTGCATCTCATGTACTCCAAACAAGAGCAGTGAATGAGAGTCTTCCAGTTCACTTGCCAAACCACTTCCATTTAGTTTATTAATAAAAGATATAGGAAGTAAATTCTTTATGGATCATTATAAATACTTTGCTTTAAAAGTACCAAGTCCTCACACAGTGAGAAAATAGAAATCCTGTATAGCAAAAAAAAATGTATCAAGATGCATCGATAATTATTTTATAATCGCATCCAAGCCCTCTGAATCGTAACTGAATCGAATCGTGAAGTGCATAGAGATTCCCACCCCTACTAAATTCCCAAACTGTCATCACCACTGAGCAAACTTTTTAGTTGGCAGCTGTGTCAGAAGAACACCTATACAACCTGGAATTAGCCAGAAATGAACCGAATACCATTCGGCAAACAAAATGGGCTGTAAGATGATTCACAGACTGGCTGGAACAAAACAACATTAATACTGATCTAGCAAAATATGACAAAACTGAGCTAAACTTGATATTGCGGCAGTTTTATGGCTCAGTCTGATGTGGTCAGACTCTGAAGATGAGACACTTTTGGCAATTGGTATTCGGTTCATTTCTGGCTAATTCCAGGGTGTTTAGGGGTTCTTCTGTCACAGCTGCCAACTGAAAAGCTTGCTCAGTGGTGATGACAGTTTCGGAATTTAGTGTAAGGAGCTGGAGAACGAACTGCTGGCTGTGCAGCAACTGAGCGGAGCTCGTTACTCTGATGTAGCAACAAGCTGCTCATTAAGGAACTATAATTTGGCGGAAGGAACTGCGAACATTAAAACATATTAAATGCCACGTTCACAGACCAGTTTATTAATTTCTCACATTATTTATTTAACTGTTGTATAAAAGCAACAGAACACTCGAGGTTGTGTGATGTCCCGAATAACATCACAGCCGTGATGTTATTTCACGATAACACACTCCCTCTCGTGTTCTATTGCTTAAGTATGTGTCACTGCTAACAATGTTTACTGTTTACAACGTTAAGCACAGCAGAAAAAGCACAGGCAACAAAATGTACAATATTTTCAATATAACGTAATGGTTTAAATCATTTTGAGTTTTCAGTTTTCAAGAGTGAAACTGTGTTTAACTGGCCAACAATGCTTTATTTTTAATTATCTTTAATTATTTTGTTAATATATATCCACGTTAATAGTTTGCTCAGTACATTTCAGCAGTGTTACTACATTATATGAAGTAGACCAGGGGGTCCAATCCTGCTCCTGGAGCCGTGTTACAGAAACTTCCTCTCTTTAGTCCTTAAAGTTATGATCTGACAGGTCAAGATAAGATATTTCACAAATTCACATTACAGATGTAAATCTGATCTTAATTTGGGAATTTTATCTTATTTTACAGCATCTTATCTCCAGTTAGAAAATCTTAACCTACTCGATCAAAGTCAACAATCAACTGTCATGTCTGTTAACTGGCAACCAACCATACACACAAAGCTGAAAAGTAAACACAATCAAAATAATGTTAAAAATTTTAGTTAGCTAGACAGCTAACGTTACCAATATAAAGGTCAAAACTAAACTAAAGTGTGATAAACTGTAAGTGAATACTATAAGAGCGCCCCCTGCTGTTTATCAGGGCGTCACCGCTCACTGGTTAAAAGTCTCCATTTCCCAAACACTTTAGCGGAACGTGCTAATGTTATTCCTCCTAATAAACAGACACACATTCAGCTCTGTCTCCTCATTATTCACCACCGTCACTAAAATGATCACAATCACTAAAGCCTTTGCCTTGTCCTCTACTGAAACAGCAATAAAGAATCTTCACATTTAAATTAAATTTTAATTAAAAATAAAAAAAAACATTTTATTGAAAAAAAAACATGTACATTCACTTTCTGATTCATAACGAGAAGCATGGTTGACAGGGGTCAGAAAAGCTTCAAGAGGATTGTGTAAAACATGCTCTTCGCTAGGTTAATGCCCCAGAAACATATTGCACCGAGACACAGATACACACAGACAGAATAAGATAACTCCTCAAAGGGAAAAATAAAACAGTCTGTTTTAAGCAGTAAAACATCACTGCAGTCGTGTTTCGCAGCAGAACAGAGTCGCTAAAAAAACAGCATCAGAAATAACTCATTATAAAAGCCTCATTTTACTCGTCGCGCTGTGGATCTGCAAGCGTTTATTGCATTTCTATAACAGAGATACTTACTGCCATATATACATATTAAAAGCCTACAAGCTGTACAAAAGTAACTCTTCCAATCCTCTCAACCATTTCGGCTTTCCCTGTTTGCCACTGTTCCAATAAATCATCACACCTTTAAAAACAAATTTGTATTAAACAGCAATGCTCTTCTGGCAAAAAGGCAGTAAAAAAGCTGAGTGTCTGATCTCTCAAGTAAAATAGGATTTGCGTATTGCAGGGCTGGCCTGAATGGCACTTTACAGGCTTCAGAAACTTGTTGATATTTCCGAATTAGTACTCAATTACATGTTTTCAGTACTTCCCCTAAAGAAGTCCATAAATAACCACTTTATGTGTGTTAAATTGTGTACAACCTCAAGCATGTTCATTCATTTTTAGATACTTTAAAGCAACATATCATACATTTATGCGTCCTTTTTCTCAAAGATGCCGAGAGACAGATGTGGAGAAAAATGTGTTTACCAGCGATGAAGACGTTCAAGACAGTTTCAGTCAGTTTAGCTGCTTTATATTGAATCGCCAACTTTTGCTTCGAGTTTAGTTCCATTGTAAGTGGAATAACTCAGGACTGGGCAATATGACAATATATGTACCATTATCATAATGATAAATTATGTCACAATACAATACAGTATTCTTTTCTGAACATAGCATGTATATTGTCAGTACTTGTAGACACTAACCAACTGCATGTTTCACTATAAGGAGAGTAAAATTAGTGCTGTTTAAGTGGATTTGGTGCCAAATACTGAATAAAAATAATTGTGTTCACAGTTTTTGACAGTATTTTTAAAATGTAGCACTACTGGCTCTTTTTTATCTGTTCCAACTGATCAGTCGTCTGAAAAAATACATGTAATGACATATTGTGTATCGTGAACATTTCTTGAAGTATCGTAATAGTATATTTTTGCCATATTGTCCACCTCTATAATAACTTAGACAGAAAATAAATCTTGTTCAGTGAGTTTTTTCAGTGTTTTATGCTAAATTTGCACAGTTAACTGATTGGCTAGCCTACTATCTTTGTGTCATCTCTCAGCTCGGCAGCAGCTAAATGCTCAGCTTCTTCACCCAAATGACAAATTAGCATGTATTAGATTTAAACATTGTTTGCCAGCCTAATGTTTAGCTAAATGTTTATGCCTCTAGCTAATCTCACATGAGTAAGAAATCATGATTTCATAATCATGTCTGATCATCAAGTAATTGCAATTTTCTCTTGGTTTTATGATAAACTCAAAAATTGGAGTGTCACGAATCCACAACAGTGTTCAAGAATTCTTTTGGTGTCTAAAGGGTTAACAAGAGGTTAGGCTTCCGAATACTAAACAAGGACACAGATATCAACACATCAAATGAGTGCTTGAGTATTCTAACTATTCAGGCCAGCCCTTAGCGTATTGCTGTTGCCCACGATACAATACATTAGTTTTGTATTTGCATAGCTATTTAACATACAGGACCATCATTTACACAGTTATCCTTTATACTTGTGTCACCAGAAGATATTGACATTGTGCATGATGTACCAGCATGATGTCAAAGCCAATAACAATGAATTGTCATTTATAATAAAGCCACCACTCCTGCAGGCCTCGGTCAGGGTTGGTCAGGGTTCTGGTTCCACTAGTTTTACAGGTCATGTAGAGAGGAACATCATCTTGTTGTAATGTCCAGGGCATAATCTCACTTACGAAGTCCACTTCTTTCAATCCCCACTTTCAGAAAAAGTGGTATTATTGTGGTGTTATTCCACATCAGGGGTGTCCAGCTCTGGTCCTGCAGGGCCTTAATCTAGCCATATACTTAAAATGAATGAGATGCTGCACAGCAAAAAGGCATCTTTTGACAATGTGGTTTGAGTTTGTATGGTGGAGAACTTCTAAACAGACCCAATCAGCCGCATTCTGCTTAGTTAGCAGCAAGACGGACACATGAGCCTCAAACACAACATAAAAGAATATTTACCATCAGAATAACTGCGTATACTCTTGGGATCAGACATACATGTGAGAAGAGGCAGCACAAATTGTGTCATGATGTGGCCAAAGTTGTTTCGTTTCCTTTTTAGTTTCCTTTTCAAGCTTTCAGTTAGTAGTCAGTCTTAGTTCAGATGCTGTGTTGCTCATATTGCGGCCACATGAAGGCACTTCATGCAGTGCCTGCACTTCTATGTACATCTGGCCCAGAGTCATTTGTTCTCACTTATCATAAAAGAAGAAGTGAGTCACTTTTAAGTTATATCAACAAACTACAAACAGTTCTGTTATTGATCTCACTCTTCAGAGTCCTTCAATTGGGAAACCTTCTCTCAGTTTAAATAACCACGTTCATATGCGGCTTGATAATGTGTGAATAGTTCGACTAATAGCTCAATTGGAATAGAATACGTCCATGTATACACCTGAACTGGAATAGACTAGTCTGACTTAAGCCATTTGGAAAACAAATTCTATTCATTTTAACGAGGTGGGTAATCCGGTAAATAATCCGTTAAGTAGAAGAAGAATAACTGTGTAAACGCCTGTATCTGATTACATTCCCAATGGGAAAGGTTAAGTATGTTCTGCGCATGTTCGTTCGCATCATAGTGTAAGTTTATAACGTTCAGCATGGCGGGAGCAGAAACTGGTCTACAGAGGAGACGAAGTTTATGCTTTGAGCTTTAAGCATAAACGGCGTCCAGCTGATGTGTCTCAGAACATGATGTCTCTTCCTCTCGCCCTTCTTTAATAAGTACATGTGAAGTACGTTTTACTGCATCTGGAATCATTTTAAAGTAATTAAAAACAAAGCGCTGCTCACTGCTGCTCATCTCACTCTGACTGGACTCGCGTGATGCTGGTTGTCATGGCAACGGCTACATTAAATGGTTCTGTACACATGTACATCATTTTGGATTTCTTGTAGTGTGCATGTAAGCTGAGATTTTCATTAGATTGTTGAGTAGAGTGAGCACATAAACACCTCCGTCTTAATCTGTATTCTGAATGAATTTAATCACATTGGCAAAAATGTTTTCATGTAAACAGCCTGTGTTGTTTTGATAATTGGAGCTACATGTTGTGCTTGTGACGTCTGCAGGCAAATGTATTGTTTCTGTGAGGCTTATGCCATGGAGACACCAACATGGTCTCTGTTTCTGTCTGTAGAAAAATTTGTTTTCCTTTTTTTCATTTATATATTCATCCTTTCAAATCTCACATCTAGAAGAAACCAACTTGAGGAGAAAGCAAACACTGGAATATGGTGATGAAGCTACACAACCCGGCACTGCCAAATGCTGACGAGTAAAAAAAGCGGAACAAGTAGAAAGAACACTGGACCCAAACCATTAATCACTAAGACTCATCCATTTTTTTTGCTTTGATATAAATATACGCTTTGTGCACTCAATACAAGTTTGTGGTTTCATCTGTACAGAGTTAAAGGGGACCTATTATGCTCATTTTCTATGTTCATAGTTGTATTTTTGCTCTAATAGTACAGATTTACAGCTTTAATGTTCCAAAAACATTTTTCTGATCATGTCAATCTCTAGTGGCGTCGGTTCTGCTGTATCAGTTTGATCCAAAGTGGATCCTGAAAGTCAGGTCAGTGTCTTCTCCACAAGCTACAACCCTGAACACACTCTTCCTCCTGCAGTAGCTGCTGTGTGCTGTGTGAGGGTATGTCGAGCTCACCGGTAGGTGAGCTCGCCATTGGACTGTCACCATTGGACAGAAGAGCATTTGTCAGTTTCCAAACGCAAATTTGACACATGCAGTGCAGCACGTTCTCTTTGAGCATACTCAGAACTGACTGTTTAGTGGTGGCTCGGTTTCGTTTCATCAAGTAAACGCTAGCGTTTAATTTAGCACAGTTTGTTAGTTTCCCTGATTCAACCCATCAGTTAAGTTACCTGCAACATCTCGAAACTTGGACTAAGGCTCTCCAGGACCGGTGCTGGACTCCCTTGTTCTATGTGACTTTTTTGGAACAAGTGACTGGACTACTTTAAAAAAGCGTTTGGCAAAACTTTTGGATTTGGAGTAAGCGTCCACTGGAGAACTGAACTTGTCCAGACTCTTGTCCAAATATTACCTTGGGGTTGCACGAGATTCCTCTGATGGAGTGAACTGAATGGAGGGGGAGCATGAGAAGCTTTCAAATTCATGCTGATTTTTAAGACAAATCTGTTTACATCAGCTTTCCTAATTAGACATGTTTGATCATGTTTCTTTGTAGTTGCCTCCTTCGCAAAGAAAAACTTCCATTCTTCCAGAACATTCTCTGAAGAGAAAAAAATCCTAGTTATTTGTTGAGGCTTTTGGCGGTCACCTGGGTAAAGGTTCAGATTGGACAGGAAGACTTCAGAAATCTTCAACGTTTGGCAAAGCTTTTAGATCTGGACTGGAGTCATCCAAACAGGATGCAAGAGATTCCTCCAAGGTAGAGAACTGAGTGGAGTGAGGAGCTTCAGACTAAGACTGACCTTGAGACCTGATCAGTCCTGGAAATCATCAAGGGAGGGACGGGGCGGAGGGCGGGTTGGAGGAGGAGCTCGGCCAGGTGGGGCAGAATGAGGGGGTGGGGGCAGTGAGCCAGTCACTGATAGAGACAGACAGGCAGTTGGTGCTGGAGTCGGAGGCAGGAATGTTGATGGAGAGGGACCAGGGGGTGGAGAGGGAGGAGGAGCCAAAGTGAGAGTGAAGGAGGCTGGGGGTAAAGCTCTGGTGGGTGGGGGAGTGTAAGGGGGTGGTGTAATGGTAGAAGGGGGTGGGGTTGAAGGAAGAGGGGGCAGGGAGGACACTGGAGAAGGTGAGGGATAGGAAGGGTAGATAGGGTAACTGCAGTGTGGGTCTGTGGAGTGGGAGGGGTAACTGCAGTGTGGGTTTGGGGGCAGGTTGCTCTTTGGGGCCGGTGGGGTGGGGCTGTGGGGAAGACTGTAGATGTGCCTAGAGGCGTTGTTGTTGCTGTTGTTCCGTGGGTACCGAGGAGCTGGGTACGATTTGACCTGAGTGAAGTTCATACAGCGACCCTGCACAATAAAACGAGACAATGATAGCAAACATGAGCTTATGCATACAGGAACTTTTCCCCAAATGTGAGAAACAAGATACAACAGATGTAGCATGAGATATGCTGGTCAAGTGTAGTGGGTAACAACTCTGCCTTCTATGCTGAAGACTAAGGGGTCAATCCCCTGTCTGGGCAAGCACCCTACACTCTACCAATAAGAGTCCTTGGGCAAGACTCCAAACACTACCTTCGCCTACCTGTATAAAATGATCAAATTGTAATTTGCTCTGGATAAGAGTGTCTGCCAAATGCCATAAATATAGATACCACACCCTTGCATGCCTGGCTGAAGACATGACTTTTATTCAAGACTTTTATTCAAACAGCTGCAATATTTGTAGCCCAATTTTACCACCAATTTGCTTCTTCTGACAGAGTTTTTAGAAGGAGTCTCAAAAAGGCCTTCCCATATTTTCAAATATTTGATGTTTACGGCACAAAATGTTCATGAGTCCTGTTGTGTGAGATGATGAATGATGTAACTAAATGAGACAAGGAATAGCCAATGAAAAAGCTACTAGAGAAAAAGGTAGAAGAGACATGTATGCAGATGGAGCAATGACCCTCTGAATGTTGGCAAATGCTTGAGTGTCTTTATAATTTGTGAACCAGAACTTCATGGCACTCAACTGCCAGTTCATCACAAAAATGATGTTCCAGTTCTTGCTACAGAATAGACTGATATACACATTCCTCTACCATATTTTCATCCACGGATTGTGTCTAGTGTGTGTAAAAGCTTAAACAGGTACGCTCCCGTCCAAGATTTGTTTGTATCCTGTGATGACAGCAAATTTGGATTTTTTAGTGCTGTGTCCTAGCAGCAAATCATTGTGTAGGCAATACCTTCCTTTTGTTTAATCATCTAGGGTGCATAACCTTAGGACAAAAAGTGTAAACAGCTCAGTCTAAAAGGAAAAACAGCTCAGTGTTTTGTAAATCTGTATTTTGTAACTCATGTAGGCAGATGATGTGATGACATGTAGTGTGGGTGCCCTTATTATGTCCTGAGGAACATCTGTATCTTTATTAAGGCACAACCCAAATAAAGTTTCATTTTTAACATGCCCAAACTGAGGACTTGAGCAGACTTTCTTACATCTGAAACAGGATTTCGAATGGTCTCCTATCCCCAAATCCTGTGACTGGACTGGACAAAGGATGGTGTCTCCAGGCTGTAGATGCCTGCCTTCAACTACATCCTAACGTAGGCAGAGTTAAACCTCTTCTTCCTCACTCTGTGGTTGTTTTGGAGATCAAGGAGCAGGTCTTTGCGGCAACAGGTTTGCAAGCACTTTGGCAGAATAGATTGAAAGGATTTGTGCTTGCAAACAACTGTCCAAACAAGCTCGCTGGGGAGAGTGGATCATCCAAATAGGTCATCCAATCTCTGGTGTCTGACAGCATTAGCTACAAGTATCACTGAGCCACCACTGTTGCCGCCAGTTCTCAGTCTAGCAAAAGCAGTGCAAAGAATGTAACCTGACGCAACACTGATCTTGTTGATGACAACTGTTAGCAGGCTCCCTGCTAGTAACATATCTCAAAATTTGTCTTGATGCATCTCCTGCTATGTTTGAAGGAGGGTGACTGAACTCAGTCCTGGCCTCAGCACAGTCTCCAGTTGAAGGAAGAGTATCAGTGCTTGGAAGAGAGCACGGCTGGTCCTTTATTGATGGAGAACGTGATGTGTATGGTTCTATATAGGAGCTTTTCGAAAATGGTTCTATACAGCACCAAAAAGGGTAAGCTGATAGCTGTTAGCATGTAAGCAGTAGTGGCCGCGTAGTAACTTCTGACCCCTGATCAGCTGTGAGGCTGAGTTTGAGGTGTCTAGACAGGAGTGAGAAGTGAGGACAGCAGCTATCAAGGTAAATATACAGATACAAGCTGAAATTAAACGAATGAAGCGAGACTCATCCCTCTCATGTTTTCTGCTCCAAAATCACAACTGAAGTTGAAGCATCACTGCGCAGATTAGTTAGTGTTAATGATTTTCGAGTGCAAATGACCGATATAGCAACTTCCGGGGGGGCGCTATATGACACGCAGTGGAACAAACTGGAACTTACACTACTGTCTGTTCAAAATAAATGAAAAGAAACCTAGCCTTATAAATTTGGGGGGTTTTGTTGTTTTTTTCGTCGTTGTACTGAATCGTCATTTCCAAACTGCGGTGTGAACTGAACTGTGCCGCCTGTGTATCATTACCCTCCTAGGAGCTCTCTGTCTGAGATGTGAGGTGTTCTTAGAGAAGTGAAGAGCATAAGAATTGAGGGGAAATGCTGCAAGTTTGCAGGTGTGGGATGGGGCAAGCGACGAGACAAGCGAGGGTGTTATACTGTATGCATGTTGTACTTACTGAAAGCTCATTGTAATCTCGTCCTTTGCTTTAATTCTGATAACATATAATGTCCGAGATATTGGACAGAACCATTTGCACGTTGCTTATTTATATAATTTGTGTCTGTGAAAACTTTTCAGGTTTATAAAGGTGATTGCTTCTCCGTTACATCAGTGTACGTTCATTGATTGGTTGAGGTTTATTAAATTAAAAAAGGAAAAAATCAATCGAAAAAAAGAGAGAGGTCTGTTAAATGTGTTTGTGTGTTATAAATAAAATATTAAGAAAGAACTCATTTGTGCCTTTGACTTTAATTTATGTACACTCACACCTTTGAAAATAAAGTTGCCAAACAGAGTTCTTTGGAGCGATCTCAAAGAAGCACTGTTAAATCCCTAAAGAATCTTTTGGTGAACGGATGTTTAAAAATCACACAATTTAAAGGTTCTTTAGGGAACCAAAAGTGATTCTTCTATGTCCTAAGTCGAACACAAGGTCTGTGGGCCAGATCAGGCCTGCAACACAAGCCTATCTGGCATGCAAAATTATTTTAATAATTTTACAATAAATTTATAATAATTTTATGTATTACAGTTTGCAGCACTACAATCCCCAGCATGCACTGCAATGTAATGTCTACTCCCAACCCTCTCCCCAACAACAGTCTATGGGACAGTGGTTATATCACCAACACACTAGCTGCATCTCAGATGCAGTTCAACCAACATAAACACTATAAATACTATAAAAACTATAAACACTATAAACATTATGAAAACTACACATTCTATAAACACTATAGGCACTAAAAACTATTAAAACTATAGACACTATAAACACTGTAGACACTATAATTACTGTATAAACTATAAACACTATAAACATCTTAAACAATATAAAAACAAAAACACTATAAACACTGTAGACACTATAATTACTGTATAAACTATAAACATCTTAAACAATATAAAAACAAAAACACTATAAACACTGTAGACACTATGAACACTACAAACAGTATAAACACTATAAACACTAAACACTACACACGGCATTATAAACACCATAAACACTACAGACGCTATAAATACTGTTGACACTATAGAAAGTAGAAACACTACAACCATTATAAACACTATAAACAGTATGAACACTATAAACACCCTAAACACCACAAACATTATAAACACTAGATGCTATAAACACTATAGACTCTATAGACACCATAAACACTATAAACAGTTTAGACACTATAAACACTATAAACACTCAGCAGCTCAGAAACTGATCCCAAGAATGAATGAACAGCAAAGAAGAGATCGCAGGTGTTTGGATCAACTGCATAGGCAGGCTTAAAAGACCTACTTCCTGGGGACATTTTTTGTTATTATTTCAAATACTGTAAAACTTTGGTGAAAATACTATGATATTACTCGTGTCATATTTTAAGATCTACTACAACTGCCTACATTTGCTGTTGTCATTTTTCCGGTTTTTGAATAAACAATGGCAAAATGTTAATTAAAAATGAAATAAAAACGCAGGAGTTCTTTGAAACACTGGTCTGTTGAGATTTTTAATATGGCCCTTTAAGTGGTTGAGTTTGACACCTCTCCTCTACAGCATTAGAATACTTTAACAGGACCACATTGCCCACACTGAAATCGATATATTACATTAGTAACATTGTGACAATTTGGAGTTTATAATATTGTGATATAACCTCAAATCTTATGCTTTTTACATCTTATAAAAACAAACGTTTTTCTGCTCCACTGAAAATTATTCCTTTGTTCATTTTTTTTTCATTTTATTTTAGTTTTTGTTTGTTTTTTTTTATTCTGTATACTATTGTAACAGTATATAACTTCTTATGTTTAGCTTCGTTTTGGCCACATCACCCTTTTCAAAAAGATATCCCTAAAATCTTCCTATATTGAGGCAGGATTGTGCATTCACACCGCAGGCATCTGAAGAAGTTTACCAGACCGCTTAGGATTCAATTAAACAGAAAAGAAGGTCACCTCAGTTCATGTTGAATCTTCCTGCTGGAGTTTTTTTACTGAAAGCAAGATCTTGTCAATAAAGCACTGGTTAAATGTTTCTCCTGCAATCTCCCCAGTCTTTCATCTCTCTAACCTCCTCTTTAAGGGTCTTACAGCCTTTGTTCGTTTATCTTTCTCTGCTCTTCAAAGACCAAAAGCATTCACCGTGCTTTTGATTTCTCTCCAGTTTCCTGCATAATCCTCTTCATCTCTGACTGAGGCTGGCAGTATGGATGGGGTGTTTTTTTCATCTGGCCTTAATGCATTGAGCAGACGGGACTGCATTCCTTTAAGTAGGAGCGTTGTTTGCAGTCTGCTCCATCTCTGCGGTTCTTTCTACCTTCCTCAGAACCCTTTATTACTAACAGCTGGAACTCTTTTCTCCTCCAATCATCCTCCAAAGTCTCCTCTTGCGATTCATGCAGCCTCAGCTGGAGCAATTCAGTAAATTCGGGAGAGGCGCACTCTAAAATAACCAAATGGAGTTCCAGTTGGGTTTGATTTCCTGAGCGCTGTTTCAACAGCTATTTATAAGAATAACACCCAGCAGGAGACCAATAGGTTTAAAAA